CCCCTGTAGGCAGATCCGTCACAGGGGAGAGAGACTGAGCCCCCAAACCTCACCGACACGGAGACAGGAGCCGCCGAGACTGAGGGAGACAGCAACACAACACTCTAGTACACACAGCAACACAACACAGCAACACGACACTCTAATACACACAACACAGCAACACAACACTCTAGTACACACAGCAACACGACACTCTTATACACACAGCAACACGGCACTCTTATACACACAACACAGCAACACGACACTCTAATACACACAGCAACACAACACAGCAACACAACACTCTAGTACACACAGCAACACAACACTCTCATACACACAGCAACACAACACTCTAGTACACACAGCAACACAACACAGCGACACAACACTGTAATACACACAACAACACAACACTCTCAAACACACACAACACAGCAACACAACACCCTTATACACACAACACAGCAACACAACACTCTCATACACACACAGCACAACACAGCACACTCTTATACACACAACACAACACTCTCATACACACACAGCACAACACAGCACACTTATACACACAACAACACAACACTCTCATACACACACAGCACACTCTTACTGTATACAGGCAACACAGCACTCTTGTACACACACGCAACACAGCACACTTTTATACACATAACACGGCAACACAGCACCACAGCGCACTCTTATACACACACAACACAGCACACTATTTCTCTGCCCCGACTGAATTCAGACGCACAGAGACCCAGAAAGGAGAGCTCACCACCAGACAGGACAGACAACAGAAGCCCAGCCCAGAGCATCGTGGGATTGGACGCCCCCTTCGACACCGAGACAGGAGCTGAAGGGGCTGTGGAGAGAGACTGAGACCCACCTGTGGGACAGAATAACGTGGCTGTATGCCTGTCCCCTGACTGAATGCCCCACAGGTGAGTTAAGGAGTTAGGAGAGAGAGAGAGGGGACAGGCCCTTCATGTCCAGTCAAAACAGAAGTGACCTCCTGTGAAAACTCTCCGATTTACAATCCTTTTGTGTATCCAGGAAAAGCAGAGCACATTCAGTTTAAGCTGACACTGAAGTCATGCTAATTAAAGTGTGATAAGAAGAAGAAACTTTATTTCATATAGCGCCTTTAAAGGTGGCTTCTCAAAGGGCTTTACAGAAAGACAACGGCAACAACAACAACAACAATAAAAACCACAGCAACAAAAATACAGGAGAGAAACAGGATGAGAATGTGTAGACAGTTGGTACTGAATACAGCAGGAGTGTAGACGGGCTTGGGGGGACAGTCAGGAGAGCAGAGTCAGAAGGTTGCGAGGTGGGGAGCAGGGCGATAATAGTTCAGACAGGTACTGAGGGGCCGAGCCACGCAGAGCCTTATTGGAGAGCATGAGGATGGTGTGCTGTTTTGAAGCCCAACAACATCTAACATAATTCTGGTGGATTTGACCCCTTATTTTATTATTAATCCCAATTAGATGCTTGTTAATCCCAGTGTAAAATACGTGAATTGAAACACAGTGCTTTGTAATTACATACAAGTGAGATTTGCATTTTCCTTGAACAAGCCACACTACTTATTAATCGTTCATATTTGTGGGGGGGCAAACTTTAACCTCACTAGAAGCGTTTTTGTGTTGTTTTTTTTTTCCTGCTCTGGTTACGTTTTGTACTGTAACAGACTGAGGAAATTGCGCTTTCTGAGTGATCAAATGTAGTCCACTCCGAATGTCTTAACGTTTCTGAGACTTTCATTTTTTTAAAACAATTAAAAGTCCTTTTCGGTGACCCAGCTAGCTGTAACACTGGTCAACATTAGTGATAGTAACGCAGCAACAACAACAACAACAACAACAAACTGTAAATAAAACAAAACGTAGTTGGTTTCATCGCTTTAACGCTCTGGTAGCTTGTATAGTGTCATGACTCAGAGCTGGGTGACAAAGCGAAAGCGAGAATCGGCGGCACACACCGGCTCACCACCGCCCTGACCGCCAGGCCTCCTTTGAAACCACGGCCTCGGCTGGCGGTCTCACGCCGAATGCGGGGCGACGAACTCCGGGAGAGAAACCGCGAAGCTGCCGGTCCTCCTCTTTCGCAGCACCAACGGCCGCTAGGTGGCGCCCTGGGTGCAACAAAACACACAGCGTACAGTACAATACAGCAGAGCTGCTGTATTTATACATGTGCTGTGATTACACAGTACCGGGCGATACGATTTCTCAAAGTTACAGTGCAAGAAGCGGAAAGTCGAGTCTTCTGGACGCTTAGCGAATACGAGGTAGAGTAAATTTCACACCGACCACAGGCTACGACTTGGTTTTACTTTTTTTTGTTGTTGTTGTTGTTGATGTTGTTTTGCAGTGTGGCTCTTGCTGAATCGACCAAAAAGTGAGAAAGCACGTACCGCGATACTGTGCTTTGGTCCTGCTCCTCGCGTGTGTGCTCCAAAGTCCAGAGATATAATATCAATCCAGAAATATAACCCCAGCCAGTTGCATGACTCTCCCGAGGAAATATTTGCTTCGGTAGCTGTCCAGCAAGACAGGGCGTCGCTCTCTCCAGGGACTGTAACTGGCTTCGGTGCAGATCATACGGAAGTTAACCACGCCATATTCCTCCCTTAAAGTAAACACTGTAGCCTGTAAAAGCGGAGAGGGGCTGCAAATATTGAATAAAGCTCCCCAGCCGAAACGCTGTGTCTCTCTTCAGCACAGGTACAGCAACCTGTACTGGTTCCTTAGTAAAACCTGACTTTTTTTTGTACAGTTCTACAGTGGGAGGAGAAGGGACCGATTTCCGGGTCGGGTCGGGTCTCAAGGTCTCGGGTACGGACCGGAATCGGAGTCTCTACTCCGTACTGAACCTCTCTCTTCCCTTTTTTAATTTAGTTTTTAACCTCTTCCTTCTGCGCCCCCTCCCTGCAGAGAGACCAATCCCATGATGCTCTGGGCTGGGCTGCTGTTGTCCGTCCTGTCTGGAGGTGAGCTCTCCTCTAACT